TACATTTCCTTCCCTTCCCCTCTCCTCCCCTTCAACCCGTTCCCTCTCCCTCCCCTCTCCTCCCCCTTACATTTCCTTCCCCTTCACCCGTCGTTTCCTTTCCCCTTCCTTCCCCGCTCTCCCTCCCTCTCTCTCCCCCTCTTCCTTCCTTTCACCCGTCGTCTTCCTCTTTCCCCTTCCTTCCGCCTCTCCTCCCTCTCCTCCCCTTATTTCCTTCCCTTCACCCGTCGTCTTCTCTTTCCCTTCCTTCCCCGCTCTCCCTCCCCTTCCTCCCCCTTACATTTCCTTCCCTTCCCTCTCCTCTCCCTTTCCCTCCCCTCCCTCCCCTTACATATCCTTCCCTTCCCCTCTCCTCCCCTTCACCCGTCCTCTTCCTCTTTCCCCTTCCTTTCCCGCTCTTCCTCCCCTCTCCTCCCCCTTACATTTTCCTTCCCCCTTCCCTTCCTTCCCTTTCGTCCTCTTCCTCCCCTTTCCCTTTTCCCCCTCCTCCCCTCTCCTCCCCCTTACATTTCCTTTCTTCCCTCTCCTTCCCCTTCCCCTTCCCCTTCACCCGTCCTCTTCCTCTTTCCCCTTCCCCCTTTCCCGACGAAGATTTTTTATTTTTTTATTTTTCATTATTTTATTATTTATGAATAATTTGCGAGATTGTTTTACATTTATGCTCCCAAAGAAACGGGCGGTTTATGCGTGGGTTTTAATCTTAAATCAAGTAGACAGAACTGACGTTTGGTGGTCGGAAGAGAGAGCAAAGGTAAGCGTTAACTGACCTCGGATCGGAGTGGGTATTTGAGGTTACGCTTTGCCCTGGAAAGAGGTTGTTAGATTGTGCGAGATTGTGCTGTATTCCTTTTATTTATTTGATTTGGGAAGTTATTTGTTATTATCATCATCATTATTATTTGTTATTATTATTACTTTGTATTATTTGTTGTTGTTGTTGTTATAATGATCATTGTTATCATTATTGTTGTTATAATGATCATTGTTATCATTATTGTTGTTGTTATAATGATCACTGTTATCATTATTGTTATTATTATTATTACTGTTGTTATTTTGTCTTCTATTATAATTATTTGTCTATAATTCTGTTTAGATTTGGACTTGGGCATTTACTTCTTCGTGCCTATACCAGCGTCTGCATTCGAGGGAGTGTGAATGTAAACACGTTTTCCGAAAGAGAAACATTACTTGAATCGCCTGAACAAAAAGAATCCCGGGCACTTCCCTCCGCTATCTCGTCGCCGATATTCTATACCCCGTTTAGACCCTCCGTCCGGTTTTATTTCCCGGCTGCGCTTATCTTATCGACATTGTCTATCAGCGAAAACGAGGTCTTCAGAGTCCTTCGCGAGAGAGAGAGAGCACGTACGCTCGCACACACGGGCAGACGCGTACACGGAAACCCGCGCGCACACACATACACACGCTCCCAAGAAATGGTAACTTTCACCCTCATCCATAAAGAAATAAAAAGGTTTAGTCCCTTCGCCGACTTCCGGAAGCCCAGTGCACCCACAAGGCCGACGAAAGTGCATGAGGAACACCAGTAAACCCGGGAATTACAACGAAAACGAAGCGTACGACGAAACAGATGGTCGCAGCCAAACGACCATTCACTTCGGACCCAAGACTGAAAAAAAAGAGAGAGAGAGAGATAGAGAGAGAGAATGAAAAAAAAATCGAGGTATGTAAACAATCCGTTAAACTCGGCAAAGGTTTCGTTTCTGAGGAGGACAACTTTTACTCCGGGAGAGACCTTGTTTACTCCTTGGTCGATGCTGGAGGATTTTAAAGGAGGTTTCGGGAGGCAGAGGTGGAGGCAGAGGGTCACTGAGGGGGTGAAGGGGTGTATGAGGGGCTCGCGGGAGTGGAGTCAGGTGGAGTGGGCATGTGGAGGAAGGTGGAATGCGAGAATTCTGTATTGAAGAAAGTGGTTAAAATTATTAATTCCGACTGAATTACTCCACCAGCTTAACAACGTAACTATTTATACGAAAACATAACAACTAATAACTCATAACTAAAAAAATACAATTAAATAACTTTCAAATATAGATATATAAGTAATATAAAATCGTAGCTACAGTACTATATATAAATCCAGTTACGTAGCTCTTAAGCGTAGTAAAAATAACTGTTTAACGAGAGCTACATAGACGTAGATATGACCCTATAACCACAACAAAAAATCATAATAGACTTTACAACGTTCGTAAACCGACGATTATAACTAACACCTTGAGAGGAAATGGCCTGTAACTTTGCGAAAATTAAGTGGGATCAAGATAAAGACTTGGTAGAAAATGGCGAATTCCTTGAAGTGTTCTCCAGCTTTAGAATCTTGCTAACCCGTCCTTCTGGGTCGGAGGGAGGGGGAGGGGGGAAGATAGGAAAAGGAAAATAGATAAAATAATAGAAGATAAGAGATGAGAAGAAGACGTAGGATGAAAATAGAAAGAGGGGAATCAAGGATAGGAAAGGACGTGCGCGCATACGAGAGAGAGAGAAGGAGAAAGGAAAGGAGAGAGAGAGAAATAGAGACATAGACGGGACGAAAGAAATGATAAGAAGACATAGTAGATACAAAAGGTAATTTCTATACTGAGAGAGAGAGAGAAAGAGCAAATGAGAGAAAATAAGAGAAACATTTCCCAAACTCGCACACAACCACAACAAAGAGCCATAGTCCGGATAAAATAAACAAACAACAACAATCACGACAACAACAACAACCGAGGCAACAAGAGCGACGCAACGCCACGACGCAGATCCATCAGCCAACGCTCCGGGCTACGTCAGCGTCGCAGCGTCAACGTCGTTCATCACGATTGAACGCCGAGTGAAAGTATTCCCGCTCCCTTCTTGCCCGGAGCTGGGGCCGTTCTCTCTCTCTATCTATCTATCTATCTATCTATCTATCTATCTATCTCACTCTACTCTCATTCTCTCTCTCTCTCTCTCTCTCTCTCTCTCTCTCTCTCTCTCTCATCTCTCTCTCTCATCTCTCTCTCTCTCTCTCTCTCTCTTCTTCTCCTCTCCCTCCTCTCTCTCTCTCTCTCTCTCTCTCTCTCTCTCTCTCTCTCTCTCTCTCTCTCTCTCTCTCTCTCTCTTCTCTCTCTCGTCTCTCGCTCTCCCTCTCTGCCTCTCTCATCTCTCTCTGCTCCTGCCTGCCTGCCTGTGTGTGTAGGCACAAGCGTATATGTGTATACATATAACCTACCGTATAAAGTGTGTTTATGTGTGTGTATGTGTTTCTCTCTTTCACCCCCAATTAAACCGGCTGATCCGTGGGTTAACAGCAGATGGCAGAGATTTCCGTTGTTTATTAGCTTACAAAACCAGATCGCCGTTTGCTCCTGTCGAATTTATTGTGCAGTTTGGGGAGCTGTCGTCTCTCTCTGGGGACGAGCGCGTCATATAAGGTTAGGTCGCGTGTGCGCAAGCCGACCGTCTTTTGTTTTGGGGGTTGGTTCTTTCGAATGTTTGTTTATTTTTGGTTGTTTTGATGTATTTTTGGGTTGTATTGATGGTGGCTTTGGTGCTTTCGTGTATGTTTTGGATTTTAGTGTATTGTTTATTTTGCTGTTGTATTTTGGGCGAATTTGTTGGATGGTTTGTTAATTTTGTTGTGGTTATAGTTTTTCTTGTGATATGTCTATTTCATTATGTTTTTATATAATTTTGTTTTTCATGTTTGTGAGACCGTAGTTTTGGTGGGTTGTGATTAAAGGGTCTCTCCTCTCTCTCTCTCTCTCTCTCCTCGTCTGCCTCTCTCTCTCTCTCTCTCCTCTCCTTCTCTCTCCTCTCACATGCTCATCTCGTCTCGCTCTCTTCTAAACCCCTCCTCGTGTCATCCTCTTCTCTCTCCTCTCTCTCTCTCCTCTCCGATCTCGCTCGTCGTCCTCTCTCCTCAGCTCTCTCTCTCATCGTCATTCCGCTTCTCTCACCTCCTTCGCTCTCTCGTCGTCGTTTCTCCTCTTCATTTCTTCTGTTCTTCAACCCTGCTCTTTCTTCCTCTCTTCTCTCGAATCTCGTCGTCAGTCTCTCCTCTC